TATTTTAAGTTATTCCAAACTTAACACTAAAAAGTTAAAATCACTGTTACTTATTTGTATTCTTTGCTTCAACAGACAAATACATTACAAAAATTAAAAGTACAAATTAGAAAAAAGAAAGGTGAAAAATGAATCCAAATTGATTTCCCAATAAGAAAAGGATATTGACCTGAACTTTGAGGAGTATTTTTAAGAGAGCACCTAAGAACTTTAAAACGAACCTACTGTGCATAATATGTTTGAGCTCTGAAATTTAGATAGCTTTATGTAATTATACAAATAAATGCCGGACATAGAATCTTAACATGTTTTATTTAAGATTTGTTAGTTTTTTTATTTGAATTTGAATTTTATTTCTAATACTAATTTGAAAAATGCTCTTATATATATGTGGTTCGTTCCCCTTGTTATGTACAGTAATAATACTTACAAGCCGCTAAAGCAAGCCCCATGCATGTGTTAAACCATATAATAAAAATTACACATCATGCATGGCAAAGAAATTTAGGAGCTTGGATGAAAAGAAGATCCCCAATTAGGTGCTTTTCTCCATATGTTAAATAAAGAATGAGAATATCTAACTAACAAAGTTAAGTCTCATCTTAACTTTAAGTGAATAGTAAGTAGAGTCACATTAATTTCAAGTATTAGATCTTTATTTTGTCAATCAGAAAAGAGAAAAAGAAAACACTACATCAACAGAAAGATTCTCTAATCTACTAATTACGTAAGCACATATAGGATAGCTATATATATTACAAATGATTTGGTGAGCTTTCTAATTCCTTCCCTTGTCTTTGTAACAATACTTACAAACTGCTTAAGCACCCCATGCAACTGTTACACGATATAATTAAAGTTATACATCATGGCAAATAAATTTAGGAGCTTGGATGAAAAGAATGATCCCAAATTGCATGCTTTTTTTCATGTGTTGAATAAAGAATGAGAATATCTAACTAACAAAATTAAGTCACACATTTAAGTGAATAGTAAGTAGAGTTGAATTAACTTGAAATATTAGATTTCTATCTTGTCAATTAAGAAAAAAAAGGGATAACACACACATAACTCTACCTCCAATAGAAAATCCCATTGTGTATGAAGGTGTCAAGATAGTAGCACTTCATTTTTCAAAACCTAAAATAGGAAAGAATAGGAAGTTACAAAATTTATGATTGCTAATAATAAAATCCATCAAACTAATTACATGCAACTTTAAGGATAACATCAGATAGAAAAGTTACAACATATATTGAAATTGGATAAAGGAGCCATTTTCTAGTTCAATGTTAGTCACATCTTATGATTATTTTATTTTATTCTTTGGAATTTTAAGATTTGGATTTTTTTTCATTGTTTTTAGAGTTTTTTTATTTGTAATTTATAAATTATCTTAATAGCAAGAAATTATTAATGTTTAACAACCCATTTGGCTTGAATTTACACATATATATATATAAAATTTATGGTTATGCTTCCTCTAACCTTAAATTCTACGCCACTAGTTATACTAAATACTGTACTTTATGCCAAGACTTGGATTTTGACACCAATTGGAGTTTCCTTCCTCAAGGTTATGTATAGCATCAAATTAGTCTAACATTTATGATTATTTGATTAAGAAACTATATTTCTCAACAAATATTTAATAATGTTAAACTTTTTTATATATAGTAAATTAACTAGCTAAATATACTCGATCAATTAAAAATTTACCATATATGATTCCTATAAGTAAATATATGAACTCAGCTGTTAATTTTTAAAATGTTGATGTTTTTAATTAAAACTCCATGAAATTAGATTGATGTATATTGTTCTCAATTTATTATATATTTTGTTAAAAGTGCAGAGACCCTTCCAATTAACTATTAGCTTAATTCTTCATAATTGCCACCATAATCAGAGGATAAGAAAACTAGATTGGAGATGTGTAAAATAGATGCTACAAGGTTTTATCAAGACACTTCATTTAATTTAAAAAATAATTATTTTTTTTAAACTTGAATATTCAAGAGATTTTAATTTATACAGATTAATGTATGCAACAATTACTAGATGAAAATTTATTTAGGAAAATGAACATAAATTCCGTTGTAACTTCTTGAATTATGTAATTCATACGTGAGATGTAAGGCCACCAAGCCCCCAGATGTTGATCACGTTAGTTGGCTTCCAAGAAATTAGCCATCACACCAAAACTTGGAAAAAGCCAGATGATTGAGAGGAATTCAATGCCTTCTGCTAGCTGCTTAAGGTGACTAATGTGCTGACTTGAAAACGCTGCATAACAAAGCATCTCCATCCAGACATTCCTAATCAGCACCCATTTATTTCTTGATTGCTTCAAAACTCTGACTAATTGGAGCACTTCTGCCAGTATGTTTTCAAATGATCTCTCACTGCAACTTGAAAAAAAAAAAGAATTTTAGAAAGAAATAAAACTACCTTAATTCTGATTTTAAAATTTTATAAAAATAAGAAATTAAAAAATCAAACCCAGATTCCTGCTCCTCTATGGACTCACTGCAAGTAAAAAAAAAATTATATTAGAAAGAAATAAAACTGCTTTAATTCTAATTTTATAATTCTATGAAAATAAGAAATTCAAAAAATCAAACCTAAATCCAATCTTCTCATTGTGCTCAATGCAACTTGAAAAAAAAATGGATTTTAGGAAGAAATAATTTTAATTTAATTCTAATTTTATAATTCTATTAAAGTAAGAAATTAAAAACATCAAACCTGGATTCAATCTCCTCTTTGGGAACATTATCTTGATGAGAAAGTAATGCGGAAGCAGCATTTCTTGAATTAGTTGCAGGTAACTCAAGTCCTTTTAGCTCGTCATAAGTATGATCAAGCCAAAAACTCTTGCTGTGCTCGGGCAATAGCAGGGCAGGACACATAGCTAGTAGATACATCATGTAATCTGATACGTGTTTACTGGTTTTCTTGATTTCATCGTGATCCTCTTCTGAGGAGCTAACACTGGCTTCATCTTCATCATGATCCTCTTGTAAGTAGCAAACACTTGTGGCAAGATGCCATACTATGATGCTGTGATCAAAGTCCAATTCAATGCTCCATTTTAGTTCATCAAATTGTTGCTCATGTTGTATTGCCTTTTCTCCTCTTGATATCTTGAATCCTTCCTCCATAAAGAATGACTGAAAGAGGTTGCCGTAATTGTAATCGTTTTTCAAATAATTTGGAACTTCCACAAATTTAGTAAACCAGTATTTGCTCCACATTTCAACAATTCCACGGCCATTAGTGATCTTCAGTAGAATGCCCCATGGTTGGTTCACGTTCCTTTTATTGTAACGCAAATAATATTCCAATAGATCAAATTGACCCATCTGATTTGACCACCTTTCGCTTCGACGCAATAAGCAAGGGAAGCACTTTAAGGCGACCTTAAATATTTTGCGTACGAACACAATATCATGAAATTGCACAACAAGAATTGCCCAATCAGAAGAAAGCATTACACATGCTGCATAAAGGTCCAGTGCAATAGCTCCACTCAATAAGATGCCAGTTATGCCAATATCAATTCTTGAGAAATGGAATTTTGGCTCATTAATTATGCTGATAAAGAAGAGTAGTAGAACTGACAAGGAGCTAGCAAAACTGGTGAAGCGCAAAAAGCATCCTAACTTGGTGTAAATCAAAGAAGCTTTGGTGTAAACAACATCAAATATAAACCCAATTGCAGCAACGTAAGAGTGTAAACCACCATTCGATTTGACAACTACTGATTCGTCGTCAATGAATTTTAAAAAGAATTCCATAGCACGAGGGCCGTCTAAACCTGTAGTTTCTTTGATATAAGCTTTTACCTTTTTTCTAACATCGGAAACATTATGGGATGAGAAGTAATCATTGACATCTGGTCTCATAATTATAAACAATAGATAACCAACCAACACATCTGTGTTTGCTTTTAGATGGTCATTAAGGGCTGAAGAGTTATTGGTTTGAGGACTTTGGGTATTAAAGAACTTAGAAATGACTGGTTTTGTTTTCTGTGAATTATTTTGCTTGAGACACAATATCTTCTCTACATATTTAATAATCCCAGCCAAGACCAGAGGGAAACTTAAAAAGGAGATCCAAGAAAAGGTCCACGACAAACAAATGACATAAACGACGAAAATGGCTTTGACAACAAGGATGAGGAGGTGCCTAATCCAAAGCTTGTTGTCTTCAAAGGAATAAGCTGTGATGGTGTCAGGGCCACCAAGATGTAGCAAGAGTAAAGGAGCCCAGTATGCTCTTAAGACATTGGTGGCGGAAGATTCTGTGTAGGAACCGGAGAGCTTGCCCAAAGTAGCAATGGCAATCCAGTCAGCACCTAAGTAGGCAAACCATAGAATGGTTTTGAAGAAAGGATTAATTTTGTATTTCCTACGCCTACCTAAGACAGAGAGGACAATTTGTAAGGTAAGACTAAAAAGAACCATTCCCCTCACATCCCATTTCTGCCACGTTTCCATCAGCAATATTGAAAATGAACTCACAACTGAGCTTGACTTCCTGTTGTTTATAAATAAAATAAATAAATAAACAAATTGCACTAAAAAAAATATAAGGATATCCTTTTCAAACATATATATATATATAAAGTATAGTTTGATATATGAATTTTTAAAACACCCTTAAACAAATTATTTATTATGTTATTTTATTAAAAATACTTTAATATTTTTACTGATCAAATTACACTTTTAATATGTAGTCTAAAGTGTAAAATATAAATCTTATATATAAATATCCTTTTCCAAGAAACAAAAGCAAATTTTTTTTCCTTATGAAACCAGATCCAAACAAAAGCAAATTATGTGTAAAAGAAATTGAAAAAAAAAATGTTGTTGGTTCCGTAGAAAGTGGTAGATCATGAATTCTTATATACTAATATCAAAATCTGAAATTAAATTTAAATAAAAAAGGTAATGAGTCTTTTTCAGAAGATTGCATTTGACCCACAGCTTCAGATATTGTAACCAAAAAAATTTCTCTCAACTATTCAAAGACAGACTATAGCTTGCTTATACACATCCAATGACAAAAACACACATCTAGTTAATTTAAAATCCGATATGCCTGTGATATATCATAGCAATTGAAACTCTTTTAACTATATAATTAAGAATAAGCTAGCGGTGGACTTACCTCTCAGCCATCTCCGACATCTCTGGGCAATGAACTTGAAAGCTAATGACCTTTTGACAATCTTTAATACGTACACAGTACCTTTGTAGGTAGCTGAGAAAGAAGAGTGTTTTTCTTTTTTCTTTTTTGTTATAGTTTGATGAGCTCCAGGGGTGACAAGATCATATATATATATATACACATACATGACTCAAAAGATTGGGACTACTTTAAGTTATTCCAAAACTAACACTTAAGTTATTCCAAAGTTAACACTAAAAGTTAAAATCAATATTGTTACTTACATATTCCTATTTTTTGCTTCAACAAACAAACGCATTAGAAAAATTAAAAGTGCAAATTAGAAAATAAAAAAAAAGGGTAAAAAATGCATCCAAATTGATTTCCCAATCAGAAAAGGATATTGACCTGAACTTTGAGGATTATTCTTTAAGAGAGCCCGTGAGAACTTTCAATCAAACCCACTGCACATGATATGCTTAAGTTCCGAAATTTAGATAGCTCTATGTAATTATACAAATAAATGCCACCCATAGAATCTTAACAAGTTTTATTTAACATTTGTTAGTTTTTTATTTGAGTTTGAATTATGTTATTTTTAATACTAATTTGAAGTTAAAAAACTCTTATAGATATGTATGTGTTTTTTTCCATATGTTAAGTAAAGAATGAGAATATCTAACTAACAAAGTTAAGTCTCATGTTAACTTTAGTGAAAAGCAAGTAGAGTCACATTAACTTCAAGTATTAGATCCCTTTCTTATCAATTAGAAAAGTAAAAAGGAAAACTATATCAACAGAATGATTCTCTTCTCTACTAAATATGTAAGTACATATGGGATAGCTATATATATATATATTTTGATACTAATCTCTCTGTATATGAAAGTCATATTGGATCCCGACTAACCCAGAGTTTAGCCGCGTTAAACCCAGAGTTTAGCCGCGTTAGACCCCATAAGGGAGAATCTCCTCCCATTGTCTATTTCTCTATTTACAAGACTCAAACTCGAGATCTTGTTTAAAGGGAACCGAGCTCCTTCCACTTAAACCAATAGGTGTTGGTGGATAGCTATATATATGACAAATGCTTTGGTGAGCTATCTAATTCCTTCCCTTGTCTTAGTAATAATACTTACAAACTGCTTAAGCACCCCATGCACGTGTTACATGACAGAATAAAAGTTTACACATCATGGCAAATAAATTTAGGGGCTTGGATGAAAAGAAAGATCCCCAATCACATCCTTTTCTCCATGTGTTTAATAAAGAATAAAAATATCTGACTAACGAAGTTAAGTCACGTGTTAACTTTAAGTAAATAATAAGTAGGGTTGAATTAACTTCAA